TAGCTTGTTTGTCGCGCTAGCGCGACAAACAAGCTAACCTGTTGTCCTCCATCCATATTTTCAGTCTCTCTGTCAACGCTCTCTGGTTTCATTTAAAAGAGCTGCTCTGTGCTGAAACAATGTGAAACTGATGAGAATAAAAACACGACGACTGGTTTAATTGGTCCATGATGAACCTCTGCTGGCTCATCACCACAGTTCACGTGAACTTATTTCTGAAGCAGACTTCACTAAATCCAGTTTTCACAAACATAAACTTCACACAGTCCTCATTTTGTTTGTGGTTCTTTATGATGTTTGTGCAGGAAGTGCAACACTTCACTTCTGCTGGAAACAAAAGATAAAACCGTTTTTAACGAGGATAATGTGAAGCTGACGGCAGCGCTGAGGAGGAGGAAGCAGCTCTGATAATGTTTGCAGATAAGAGCTGTTTTATGACCACTTCAGCCCTGTTTGAACTAGCCGCTAGCTCATCAGTGAAGTCAGATTTAAACTGAGTTTATAAAACCTCAGGTCATTCTAACARCTTTGTWCAACAGGTAAGATATTATCTGTTCATAACCCCATTCAAACAGTTCAGACTATCACAGCAGATGTAAATAAACCTCTACCATCATAAACAGTGATGTTACACACCCTGCTTTGTTCAACCTCTGTAAAGTTAGTTTGTGTACAAAGTCACAAGCTTGTTTGTTTTGTTTTGTCAGGGTCACATGATCAGCTGGTGTCTCCCTCAGCCTGCCTGGTGGTGGGGAAGCTTGTGAGAGGAGGAACGGGACTGTTTGAACTGAAACAACCTCTGCAGTAGGACATGGATCAATAAAATGACCCAAACCAAATCCTGTGTTCGGTAAACTGTTTCACTTCCTGTTCACGTGGCTGATGTTCATGTAGAAGAACCACCGTTTAAAACTATAAAACTGATTATAAAAGTGTTGCTCTGAGTTATTTCACATGTTAYAGTTGGACAGTTCTCCACATATATGAATGCAGCTGCTCCACACTGTAAATAAAAACACAGCTAAGTGAGCAGAGAACAGCACGCCTSCTCAGGTGGAGCTGTAATAATGCTGAGTCATCCTAACTGAAAACATACAACCTTRAAAATAAGACTTATTTTATGAAGTTATATGTTAGTTTGAACCATGTGACTGACCTGTGATAGGCTGCTGTCATCTGTGGAGCTAATCTGTGACGACTTTAATGTTTGACCTGTTTTCACTCTCTTTCTCTTGTGACAACAAGCAGCTGCTCACAGGTTTTTAATTTAACGACTGATTGATGTGGAGRAAATGTGCAGATTTTTGTCTCCTGTGTTCATCTTTTAATTTCTTTGAACCTTTAAAGCTGTTATCAGTCTTTGCAAGTAAAAAGGTGCAGACTTGTACTTTGCAGCATACTGTCATCTTAAAAAATAAAACATTTGTTACAAAAAACTATGTTATTTTATGTATTTATTAATGAAATAAACAGGAAACTGGTTTATTTTGTCGTGGTTTGATCAGCTGAGTGTTTCTGCAGTGGTTAGATGGTTATTTTTAAAAAAACGGAAGTGATGAAGAGCGTCCTGCCCTCTGATTGGCTGGCAGCTCTTGGAGGGTCTGCCCTCTGATTGGCCGGCAGCTCTTGGAGGGTCTGCCCTCTGATTGGCCGGCAGCTCTTGGAGGGTCTGCCCTCTGNGGCAGCTCTTGGAGGGTCTGCCCTCTGATTGGCCGGCAGCTCTTGGAGGGTCTGCCCTCTGATTGGCCGGCAGCTCTTGGAGGGTCTGCCCTCTGATTGGCTGGCAGCTCCAGGCTGACGGGCGGATGTGGAGCTGGAAGCCGCTGGGAGTGGGAGTTGTTGCGGGTTGTTTCTCTGAAAGCAGCGGTGATGAGAGGTCACGGAGTCATTACAAAGGTAAGGAGAGTCATGAGTGACGACAGAAGGATGTGTGGGAATGAGAAGGTTGTTTGGTTCTGAACGGACAACATCTGGGCCTGACCGACTGAAACGGGCCTGGCTCGTTGTCCCGACCATAAACAAAGTCCGGAGCTGTAGTTTTTAAATATGTCGCTGTAGCTTCAGTGTGTTGMTGAAAACAGACGTGAATCATTCTTACATTATGAACACAGACATGTTGTGTTTGTGTTGGAGCCCAGCGGCTCCCAGCATCCAGCCTGTCCGGATCTTCAGCACCGTCCCTGGTCACCTCTCTGGGGTTTAAATTACACAAACATCCCGCTGTAACACCGCTGCTGAAGCCAGCTCTGACTAAACTGTCTTYATAGCTATAAAAAATGTTTAATAAAGTGTTTAAGCTCTTATTTTCTTATAATTGTGACAGCTAGCAGTCGTTTCTACTGATAGTTAGCATTTAGTTAGCTTAATGAGATGMTACAGCATCATGTCCTGATGCATCTCAGTAATCCAGGTAAAAAATCAAAAGGAAAAAAATAGTATATGTAGGGCTCACCTGGAGTCAAATTATCAAGGAACTATGTTGGACTCTCAGTCCTCTGATGGGCCTTCTAATGGAC